CTGGCGCACGAGCTGGCGCCGCCCGCTCGTCTCGCATGGCTAGTTGTCTAATGATCCGCTCGGCTGCGGATTAGTGAGGAGGAGGAGGGGGGGGGAGGGGGAGGAGGGGGTGCGAGAGGAGTCCTAAAGGCTGCGCATCGGAGCGTGTCATCGCGCCTCGCCTCGCCGACGCCTCGCCAACGCCACGACATAGCGCCCCGCCCCGCCCGGCCCGGCAAACCCGAGCGCCGCCGCCCCGTCCGCCATACGGAACTGCTTGGGTCTCAAACACCGCAAATCCATTAAGACGGGTGAAGCGTGAGGCGCCGCGCGGCGCGGTGAGCAGTGGCGTCGCGTAGCGGGGGGCGCATACCAGAAGGGGTGGGGGGCAATGTGCGAAGCGTTCTGGCTGGCCCCGGGGATCTTTGCTGGGATCCTCTCCACCTCTGGAGCCCGCACCTCCAATCCCATTCTGCTGCCGAAAGATAAGCGGGAAAGGTGTGTGAAAGAGAGAGAGAGAGAGAGAGAGAGAGAGAGAGAGAGAGAGAGAGAGAGAGAGAGAGTCCTCAGGGATCGCATGGACGTGCTTGTCTCCATCCTGATTTATGTCAACGGTCAGGGTGGGTGCACGCAGGGTGGGTGCTGCAAGAGGTGTTCTCTGTCGCCGCCCTGCTCGAAGGCCTTTTTTCCTCGTCGGGCTGGGGGGGGGGGAGAGGAGGGGGTCTTTATTGAGGTAGGACCAGAACTTGAAGTACACAGAGGGGCACCATGGTGGTGCAGTGCCTCTCCAAGGCGCGCTGAAGCAGTCACATTTCGTCAGAACTTCTCGATTTTCCTTTCCGTCCAAAAACTTCTCTGCCCCCCCCCCCCCTCGGGGGCGCATTACGCCGAATAATCGCGCGCCGTGCCTCGCATTGATTGGCTGCTGGAATCGAAAGAAGTGGAGCGATGAGCTTCCCGTAATTCGAGTGATAGACATCTCCTCGATCTTGTGTTCCGCCAATTAAGCTTTTCTCCTCGTCCGCGCTCTCTCGCCCTCCTCCCTCCGCCTCCCCTCCCTCCGCCACTCCGCGTGTATCTCGCGCTCTCCCTTCCTTCTCCCTCTCCTCGTTCGCCTCAGTGGGCCCAGCAGGGTCGGTCCCTCCTCCGGCTGCTCGGGGGCGCAGGGGGGGCTGCCTCCCCCTCTCTCCACCGGGACCCCCACCTCCCCTAACGGGCGACGTGCCGTGCAGTATACCACCAGCCCGGCCGTGACGCCGGGCGGGGCGGCGGCCGTCCGACTCTTTTGTTCAGCCCCTCCCTCCCCCCCTACCCACCCTCTCTCTCGCGCTGTCCCGCCTGTCCGTCCTGACAGCCCGGCACAAACCTCAGCCGCTAGCGGGGCTCGTTTGTGTGTCGCGTCGATGACGCGAACTGGAAGACGTCCAGGAGAGGAGAAAGATTGTCCACGGCACGAGAAAGGGAGCGGCCGCTGCTGTCGCTGGAGAGGGAGGAGAATGGGAAGGGCGGGGGGCGGTGTGACGGGTCTGTTATTTGCAGTACAAGCCTGGCCCTGGTCTGGCGGCGGGTCGTCGTTTTCTACCTCTACTGCCCCCCTCCCTCCTCCCCCTCTTCTCTTCCTGTTCCGTAAATAAAGGCTGTGTCCACTTATTATGAGGGTTGGACGGACGACGGAGCGGCACTGGCACTGAACAGCCTGAGCGAGAGCGAGCGAGCGGCCGCGAGGAACGCTGTGGCGGTGGTGGGGGGCTGGAGAGCGCCCGGGCAGTCGGCGGTAGGCAACCGGGCGCGCGGCGGAGGGTGCACGCTGCCTACGCGCGGGCCGGCGGGCGCTCGGGCAGGACAGCGTACGTCAGCTCCGGGCGGGCGGCCACAGGAGGCAGGCACCTCACTATCTGACCGCGTACATGCGATATGAGCTGCGATACTTCCTCCAGGGACGCCCCCAGGAGAGGGGTCGTGGGTGCGGGAGGATGGTGTTGTATCCCGTGTCCCTCCAACTCCCGCCCCCATCCCCCTCCCTCTCTCCCCGACCCCGACCGTCTTCCTCCTATGGCTCGCCCTGGTGATTGATTGCTCGCGACGTGTCTCTCTCGTCATTCCATCTTTTCTTTTGTCTGCGCCGCTCCCCTGGGCCTTCACTACGATGCCTGCAGCTGACGTGGTTTCGGCTCCTCCCCCCTCTCCTCGCATTCCCCTTTGCCTTGCCCCGTCCCGTTATTTCTCGCCGAAACCGAGGATGAAAATTAAATTGCCAATGTGCGAGGGAGAGTTGGAAAGCCACGTGCTGCAGGGCGGCCCAGTCGGGCCCAGTCCCAGCCGAATACCAGACACTTTGCAAATCAAACTAAATCAAAACATGACAGTAGCTTTATTGGCCATAGTTCAAATAACTCTATAACTTTTCATTCTACAGTTTCAAATGTTGAACGTTTTTTTTTGTTTTGCACTGCTTTTAACTGTTTGTTGTGCGCGGCGTGTGGCGTGGCGTTGGTGGGCGCGGCGTTGCGACTCAGTGGGGTGGAAGCGAGCCGGCCTCTATCAGTGTGGAGTAGCTCGCGGTGCGGCCGCCACAACACCGAGCGGGGCGGCGCTAGGCGCTATACAGTGTGAAAAAGGTTCCTTGAATTTCAAGACCCGGTCTTGGATCTTGTGGAGAACGCCATTGACTCCCAAAACACGGAACGTTTAAGACAGTCCATAACACTAGTACTACTACTACAAATAAAACAATCGTTGCAAATATAATTAACGCACGGGATCAGTGTGAAAAATAAAGTTTATTTACGACAGGGAAGAATAGTCGAAGAATTCCAAGACGATGTATTTCCCAAGGTTTTTGTAATATGTTACCATCGAAATCGTAACTTTTACACCATATCTTTTGGGCGATTTTCATAGGGAAGCGTTTCCGTTAAATTCCACGCGCTTTTATTCGTAGTGCAGGTGAGCCTGTGCGGCACTGGCCTGCTCGACCCCAGCCAGCAGGCAGCGGGACACACTGACGGACGGACGGCACAGGTCTGCAGCTGGACAGCCTGAAAGTGCTTCCTGCTTACGTGGACAATGGAATGCCATTTGGGGACACGTCAGCGAGGCGGGTGTCCGAGTGGTGGTGGGTTTGGTGGGTGGTAGCGGTAGCAGACAGTCTCTGCTGTGCGGCGCACGTCACGACGTGGTCTTATAATTATGTCTCGTCTACTCTGTAACTGTGCGTGTTGAAAAGTGCTGAACATTTTGTGTCGCCTAAGGTAATATCACGAATACAAACCAGTGAACAGTATATGTTACACTCG